CCTCTTCTGCATGCCAGAGAGGTGTGCAGCTGCTAGGTCATTCTTCTTCTCATGCACAAAGGAGGAAGGAAAAAAAAAAGTATGCTCATACTAAATATTTCAGTTTGATTTGTGCTTTGGAGTTAATGAGCGAGTCAGAAATAGGTAATAGTTTGAAACCATTAGCTTTTATTCTTTTAACCTTCAGTGTACTAGGTTAGCTGTTGACTATCTAGCGCAGGCTGATGCATCTGTAGCACTCCTGTATCGGTTCTGAATTATTTGCTTTTGCTTTTTTTCCTACCGTTTCCTTTGCTTTAAGCCACTGCTGTACAGTTAAACTGAAAGTCCATCTTCAGTTGATGGCTGTGTTGTGACTTCTTGTCGTGAAGACGTTCTGTTTGTGGAGCATCTGTGTAGCATCAGGGAGCAGGAAGGGGAGAGACCAAGGAGCTTTAGTGAGTACCTGCTACCGTGGGAAAGCTTTAGTGTGTCTGCGTGTACGTAAAGCAGAATATGATGTCAATCTGTGATCAATGGAGAGAAAGGAGTAGTTCCAGATAAGAGAAGGTCTTTTCCCAGGAGAAAATGATCCATAATACCAATAGCTACACTTCAGCTCTCTTAAAGTAACAGCAAACGAGATGACTGGTGACTGGACATGATTTTTCCAGCAGTTGCTCTGCTCCTCGGGTATTAGACAGATGGAGGGAAAGACTGGCAAAATGTGTTTCTGAGGAGCCGTTTCACACCCCAGCGAAGCCCAGCCTGTGATCTCACTGCAAACGATCCCTGGTAGCTGGCATGGGTTATCTCAGAAAGTATGCTCAATTCTAGAAATAGCAATAAGTCTGCGGAGTGCTGCCTGCTGTCTGTGATCCTGACAAGTTTCTGTTTATCTTTCAGTATGGAGGAATTGCCATGTAAATGATTAATTAGAAATTCCCTATATAATTTGAATTGCAGCATTTGGAGTGGAGATTGCATGGTAGGGTGCCTTTGTTTAACGGTCTGCATTCTGCAGATGTTGTTTTGGAGTATGGGTTCCAAGTCTTGCCAACTAACTCTTTTCTTTATTTGTACTGAGTGCATTTGAAGTTGCATCATTTCCTCGGTAAGAACAGTTTTATTTTTGACTGGAGTGCTTGTCAGGTGGGAGAAATCCTGAATGTGAGTGCTCTCTGGTGGCGAAGATTTCTGCTTCAGCTTTCCGATTTCTGCACTGTATTTTCCGATGGCAATTGGATGTGAACATAGGATGTCTGGACTTAAGGATGTATTTTTTTTTCAACTCCCTAAAAATAAAAACTACAAAACAAAGTCTTGGCAGTCTTCTTTTCTCGACAATCATTTCTATCCCTTCAAGTGATTTATATTCTGTGACCTACTGGTTTATATTTTCTATCAATCCATGTTTTAACAAGGTAATAAAAACTAGTATAAAAACTTCTCATGCAAGAGCTGATGTTCTTCATCAAACTAACGCACAAGGATTAAATACCGTGACTTTCTTTTTGGCTGCTGAGCTAGATTTCAGATGCCACAGTAATAAGTGGAAAATTCAGAAGACAGCGACACAGAAATTATTCAAATAGCATCATTGTGGGGAAATCTTTTCTCCTCAAAGTTGCAGCACAAGATGATGTGATTTTCATGATACGTGGGCTGTCGACCCCCAGGAGTAGGTCCAGGGGTTCCTTTTATCGAGTGTGCTGTAGATTGCTTTTAGTAACACAAATCACTCTTAACGTGTTACATGCTTGGTACCAAAATAATTACACCATCCTCTCTGTTGATGAGCTTTCCTGTGATGAAGTGCATGCCCTGATTGATGAGCCTTTCTGAAAAGCGCCGGATAGCTTCGTCGTCTGGTTTTGTGACCTTGCCTTGCAGAAAAATAGAGAATTTAACACAACTTGTACCTCCCAGTTTGGACTGCTGTCGTTGGTTGTTTTCTTAAGTTTTCATGAGTTCTTCTTGGGCAAGGAAAACCAAGAATCTCACACCGAAGCAATGCAGCTAGGAAAACAGTCGCTGCTGTTCTTGGCCTGCTGCTGTGCTGAGCTGCACTGTCTGATGAAAAGAGGCTTTATCAGCAAGGAGGGGCGAGGAGCGACGGCTCCTTTTAGGAACATCTAAGCACAGCTCTGGAATTCTAACTCCGATGCTAAGAAGTAAAGAAAAACGAACAGAGAGGTAAACGGGCATGTCAGTTGTTCATAAACTCTGTATCCTTAAAGCCAAGCTTGAGAGATGCCCACTTGGAGATGGATCCTTCTCCCTCATCTCCATCTGCCTTGTTGCCACAGCGTTTGAAGACACAACTTCTCAGAGTCCAGTAAAACCTTTTAAACCTTGACTTGGAGGCCAGATGTGAGATCTGTTGTCGAAGCCCACAGCAGGCGGTCTGTCGAACTGCCGTGTGTGTCAGTGTCACAGCTGTAACCCCTCCGAAGCCCAGCTGTGGCCCGGGGAGGGGGCTCCTCCAGAGCGGTGGGCTCCCAAGGGCCGGGCTGGGGCAGGCTGGCAGAGGCAAATCCCGAGGTTCTGCTTACGAGGCAGCTGGGGACGCTGAACTGTCAAGGGAGGAAACTTAAACTGTGCTACTGAAAGTTTACATAATTCATTGCTTAAGGAAGAGGTCAGAGTATTGGGTACAGTGATGGTGACTTGGCACCACTGCCTTTTTTTTTTTTTTTTTTTTTTTTCTTTTCCTCGGCAAATAAAAGGAACCCCCTTAACCTCTCTGTGCTGACCATGAACCCTCCGGCCGTGCGTCTGACAGTACGGTGGGGCTTAAAACCTCCTCCAGAAACTGCTGTATCTTTTTTCTTATCATTAATAGTGCCTTCAGCGGTGGTTGCGCGCCTGCTGTGCAGTGACTTTTGGAGAGCAGTCTATATGTTCTCCATTGGGTAACTGGCCTTTTTTGGATGGCCCATCTCCAAGAAGATGGGAAGGATTCTGCTGATTCTGATGTCCTTGTAATGGTTTCCATTACATATGTATGTCCCAGTGTGGTTTGATCTCCTTAATAGATACAGCGTTGTGTGTGTTTGGTTTTTCTTAAGCTCTCCTATGTGTATGTAGAGTCCCTCATGTGCTCCTGAGAGGGCAGGAGACGGGCAGCCTGGTGGTATATGTTCTTTTTGCACCCACGAGTGTCTTGCATGCTTAGTATCTTCCAAATACCACAATTCCCAGCTGCTTTGTGCTTCAATGAATTAAAATTAGGGATGGCAAATGACAAAGACTGAGTCTGTGGGGCTTCCTGTGTACCTAAGCCCGTCTTCTGGTTTCCCAGTGAATAAACTGTTTTTTAAGAATCAGGCTGTGATTCTGTATTTCATACCAGGCTTGTGTACTTGTTGCTCAGTGTGTTGCCTATATGTTATCCATCATTTTTGTTGCAACAGTTACCTGCTGAGCTGCGGTTGGTATTACTAATTATAACGGCCTTATCTTTTCTGAAACATTTTTGGTAGCTTTCAAACAGCGTATATGTCTAAAATATAAAATATCTTTGCATTTTAAGCTCGCTGTTGTTTTGGGAAATGCATGTCAGGACTACCTTCAGTTAAAACTGAATGCAGGAACAAAAAGATGTTTTGCAATTCTTGTGTCTTTTTTAGTGAAGTATTTCTGGAGGAAGCTGGAATTAGAGGCAAAATGGCTTTTAGAAAGTGGAATGCTGGTTGCTAGGTTATATTTCTTGAGTTTTATTACACCTGCTAAAAACTAACACTGCCAGGATGCTGCAGAAAATTCTCAAATGAACAATAGACAATGTCAAGCCTGTCACCACATGAGGGTGGTAATAAATTCAGTAAAGTAATGCTAGAATTTGTGCTGTAGTCCGTCAAGGCTGAGAAAGGCCCTTGTACTCTATAGAGGTGTTATGGTGCCATCTAATGTTGTAAGATTTAAATACAGGGTGCAGACAGGTATTTAATGGTAGAAATGCCATAGTTTGCATGTTGATCTCTAAATTTGCTGTCATCCGTTCTCCTCCTGAGAAGCAAATGCTGCATGAGTTCTTCAGCTGTTAATCTGAAATTCCTTCTGTGCGCCTCTGCTAGATCACTTTTGATAAAATGTGAATTTCTTTGGAAACATCTTTTAACTTAAACACTTTTTTTTTTTTTTTAAACAAACGTCAAGGTATTTTCTGTCTTGTTTGCAGAAAAAATACTAAGAACCAGGTAGGGTTTAGGAAAGTTGTAGTTTAGGTTGTTTTCGCAGGTTCTTAAAAATATTTCACTTCTGGTTTAGCAGCAGTAATGGTATCAAAGTGCCTTCTAGTGAAAGGATGGAGTGGAAGCTAATTGCTAGAGCTGAAAGGCTGTAATTTGCTTCTTGGCTTGTATCTTTGTTTACTTTCTTGCAAATGTGATTAGACCTCTAAAGTGAGTGCCTTCAAAACTTCTGCTTCTCTGGCCTCAGCTGGGCTATGGACAACTGTAGAATGTGAAGAAATAATTTGCCTTTAAATCCCCTTTATGAAGCAGATTGTATAAGCTCATCACAAACTCATGTTTACTTATTGTCCATTGTAGAAACAGTAAATTATATTAACTTCAGTCTTGCTAAAGAATCGCTTAGAAACATTTGTTTCTGGCAGCATGTTAATGGCAACAAATACCTGAATATGCAGAAAGCTGGCTTGATTGCATCGGCAAAGCAAAAGTTGGCTATACTCGGAAATATAGTCGGTGTTTGTGCCTCAGTAATCTGATCGGTCATGCATCTGTAAAGTGAAATAGCAGTAGAAATTTCCTTTGTAGGTGGTAAGATTCAAGGATAGCCCTAGTTCTTAGTCCTTGTAACGTCAGGTCTCTACGTAGTACGCTAACATGCCATCCGGGCCACACTGCTCAGATAATGTCCGTAGTTAGGGTTTTATTATAATGTTTCAGTGCGATGATGGATTGCAGAGTTCACCTGATGAAACGGGCAACTTGCTTGAAAGACATATTCTGAATCTCTAATTCCCTTTCTCCCTTTTGTCTCATTCCGGTTAGGTTTGAAAAAGGACGGATTTATACGTTTATTGGGGAAGTGGTCGTTTCCATGAATCCTTACAAAAACTTGAACATCTATGGGCGTGACATGATTGAGCAGTACAAAGGAAGGGAATTGTACGAGAGGCCTCCTCATCTTTTTGCAATTGCTGATGCTGCTTACAAAGCGATGAAGAGGCGATCAAAAGACACCTGTATTGTAATATCAGGTAAGCTGAAAGAGCTTTTCATTATGATGAGCACTTGATCTTTGTGAAATTCTAGGCAGAAGAAGAAGGATTTGGCTAATGACAGCATTTTATAAAAGAAAACTTCATTAATCTTAAAACTGCTTATTTGCATTTGAATCCGTGTGTGGAGACCTTAACAATTATTTCTTACCTAATTCAAGAGCTGGTGTCAGTCATTAGCTTAATCTGTGCATGCAAAGTGATAACTTGAACATGAGTCCTCTGCTTGCTCTGCCTGTGTGAATGGAGATCAGTGAGAATAGGGTTCCTGTCTCTCTTCAGAGAACTGCTAATTTTTGTCCCTTAGATGACTCGCCAAGGTTTTGTTCTCTGTTTTGATGGCCAGACTGATTGCTTGTCGTGGCTCTAACAGTGGGAGCAGGGCTTGTACCATGAACGGTCGCTATCTGGATCCTGGCACTTTGTTTCCTTGATGTTCCCGTGCTTTAGCAGCTCTGAAAAGCGAGAGACCCGAGGTGGTGTGCGGAACAGTAGCCTCTTGTATTGCAGCTCCCGGCACTGCGCTAGCCAAGCCTCTGCATGCCAGTCTTTCTCCTCTAACAATATTCCTTTTGATCCTCTGTGTGCCAGGCCTTTTACCGATCTGTGAAATCTTACATCATAACTGCTTCTAAGTCGGCATAGCAGCAACGACCAGGCAGGGTTATGGCTATATTTAGAAAATGTTCAAAGTGCACACAAATAAGATTGTTTTAAAAAAAACAATAATAAAAAACCCAAACACTGTCAGGGTAGAATTAAGATATACTGTTCAGTGATTTGCTTTGCTTTTTTTGATCAGTTCTGTCATCTTTGTATTTATGCCCTCAGGTGAAAGTGGGGCTGGGAAAACTGAGGCCAGTAAATATATTATGCAGTATATAGCAGCCATTACCAACCCCGGTCAGAGAGCAGAGGTGGAAAGGTAAGGGCTTTGCAGAAAAATAAGTGAGATTGTTCTGTTTCTGGATCTCTCTCTGTGGACTGTGTAGCACCATGTTATTAGATGGTCTCTTGTAGTAATTGCGTGCTGATTTTACAGCATTTACCTAACTTCTTCAGATACTACTTTTACTCAGGGAATTTTGTGATATTGATTGCCAAATTCACATAGAAAAAACTTAGGAAAAACTCAAGCCTTCAAACTTTCAAAATAAAAACAGTATCTAGAAATCATGTTTCCTGTGGCAAATTGCCTGGAATATTGTGTACGTTAGAATAGCATGCTGAGTGCAAGGAGCATATTCCATGACCTTTCAGGCTTGCATACTCCTGAATTGCAAAATGCGCCTGTCAGCCTTAGAGTAAAAGTTTTTGAGCAAAGAATGTGGCTTTCTGCTGAAACAGACTTAGTACCTACCCCAACAAAAGTTTTGAAAATTACTTGCAAGAGTTCAAGAAATTGATTTCAAAACTTAAGTATGTAAAGGAACTAAATTTTTGATGCTGTTTTCAGTGGGGGGATCTGGCCTTTGGTTCCCATTTGCTTGGCTGTAAGGAACATTACCCAGCTGATTTCCCATGGGATTGCTAATGTCATATGCATCTGCCCAAATATATCATCAAAGAGCATCTCTGTTGTTACTAAATTCTTCTTGAGAAATACCTGCAAAAAAAATTTCCATGGTTTGAGTATACAAGTCTGGACTTACCCTGTTCTCTTTTCCATTTATCTGTACTACAGAGTGAAGAACATACTGCTGAAATCCAACTGTGTGTTAGAGGCCTTTGGCAATGCCAAAACAAACCGTAATGACAATTCCAGCAGGTTTGGAAAATATATGGATATCAACTTTGATTTTAAAGGAGACCCAATAGGTGGGCATATCAATAATTACTTACTAGAAAAGGTAAGCCACGCTCACTTTTAGAGTTACAGGCTTTTGTGTAGTTACTTTTGTAATAAGTGCTTTGCCATTAGAAAGTTATCCTTTCAAACGTGGTATGTCAAGAGGTGACGTATGAGAGCATAGAATCTCATTAAAACTAGGGATTAATTTTTTTTCCTGAGTTAGTGTAAGTAACTGTAAGTAACAGTGCTGCTAAAGCACTGGCACTGCTCTGTTACTTTAACACCACTACTTTCAGGGCTTACCACGTAAGGGACTACTGTTACTCAAAAGCTTATGAGCATATGTACTTTGTATCAAGAGTAAAAGCTGAGATTAAAAGCTGACGTTAATTTAACATCTGCAAAACTCCTTCTTTGTAAATTCTTGCATTGAGACCTCACTGGTGAATAAAAGGAGAAGATATCTAGGTCTGTAAGTAGCAATGGTATGCTTGAGAAGTGTTATTCTGGCATAATGCCACAGCCTTGTGTGATCTTTTAGTAGCTTTGGTTTTATATATTCCAAGTGATCCTAAGCATAATTTTTTTTTCATGTCATTAAGTGGTGGCTGAAAACATTGGAATATGTAAAACTCTGTAGAGAAACTGGGCTTGGTCTATTAACAGTTCTTGTTATGTGTGAGACACACGTCTGGCTTTAATTTATATGTTTGACCACATCAGCTAACATGCTTTTTTGTTTGTATTTTTTACTTTTCCCATTATTTCCCTGAAGTCTATTTTCAGAATAAACACTTTATTTTAAAAAACAAAACAACAAACCCAAACATTTAACATGTGATGCTTTTCATGCAAAAGGAGTGGGGCTGCAGCTGCCGAGACTTAAATCCAGATCATTTATTTCATATTCTTGACTTCTACCAAGTTAAATTTATCTCCATTTTGAAAGCAGTTGAGGTTCTGGCCTGAACACAAACAGTTAACAGACAGTGACTTTGCTCTGCAGCAGGGACACATGCCTCATCGTTCTCCATAGTTCAAACTTGTAGTAGCATAAAACAAGGATACGTTGCTTGTTGAGCGAATTTCTGCTGCATTTAACGTTTTTTTGTTTTGTGCTGTTTTACACTGATCTGGAATGAGTGCTCTGAAGATGGAGTCGTTGCTTGCTCCCTAAAACAATGCCCTTGTGTCAGAGCACAGCGTTCGCTTGTGCAGTGGCTGGGTGCTGTTGGCCAGCCTGTCCTGGGGTTGTAGAAATGGTTACCGAAAGGCCCTAACTGTGGCCTGTGGATCATTTTTTTTTGTAGTCACACAGTCCTGTTTTTCATTTCCAGCGATTAAATAACTCTTAAACTAAAATGACATTTTATTTGTCTCTTCCATGAGACCAATTCTGTAGTTGCCACATGGGATTCCTGGTTGGAAGTAGAACGTTGCAGCTGTTACGCAAGCTGGTCTTTTTGATTATAGACTTCAAACTCCATGGTCATGCCTAGCTAATAATGTTCATAACAGACTTACTGTAAGATAAGATTAGTTTGGAGGTGTCCTAGCAGTGGCGAACTGATGCATTGGTGTCTAAGGGGAGGTGCTGGGCTGTCCACATCCAGAAATACCTATTTTTGTATTTTGTTTCCCCTCAGTCTCGTGTGATTGTGCAACAGCCGGGGGAACGAAGCTTTCATTCTTTTTACCAGGTTTGTATTCATTTGCTGAAACAAATTACTTTTCTCAAGTTTCCCAGACATTTTAGGCAAAATATTTACAGCTTTCACCCTCTTGTGTGTTTTGCAAAGGGTTCCCTTTTTGTTGCATCTTGGGTGATCTTAGGTTCTTTAGCTCTTTGAACAGGCCTGGTCTGGGGAAGGAGCATGGGAAGATTTATTTTTTCTATCCTCCAGTCCCATATTAACACATTTGTAAACTTAAACGGAGGCTAACTAAACAAATATGATAGAATATTGGACTTTGACTCACTGTTTTATTTGTAATAAGTCTAATCCCTCTATTTTCTCTTGAGGCCTTTAGTCCATATGGAAGTAATTTTATGACACCAAGTTGACTTTCTTTTTTTCTTTGGGTTCTTTTTAATGTCTTCCATGTTGTATGGTGGTTCCCTTGTGCGTCCTTCAGGGGAAATGGTCGGCTTATTAGTATAACCTTTATTCTCAGTTTTGCGGCGAGGGAAACGTAGGTTTATTTATTTTTTTTTTCCCACTTGCGCAGTACTCCATGATGGCATGTTAGCACCTTTCTCATGAACGTGCCATTTCCGTGTTGGAAAGTCTCTGTGTATAGCAGTGAAGGTAAATGTCCTTGCCAAGACACATCTGTGGCATGTCACAGATGTAAACATGTCTGGTCTGGGAAGAGCTTCAGGCTTGTTTTCTAAACCGTTGTGTCACTCAAGGGGACAGGCATTTAGGCAATGTCTTTCTGATGGTCAGAGCCCTGCAACGATGCAGACCATGTATTTTGCACATGTTGTGCTTGTGACTCCAGATACTGTAGTTGATTCTTCTGTAGCAGTAATTTAATGTTTTTATGATTTTGCTTGTCAAGCAGATGAATAAGAAACAGAAAAAGGAAGGATTTCATTTTTTTCATTCACCGTTTCTTAAAATACTCTTTGTACAGCTCCTCCAGGGGGGTTCTGACCAGATGTTACGTTCTCTACATCTTCAGAAGGATGCATCTGCCTACAGCTATATCTGTCCTGGAGCACAGATAAAGGTGAGGGTGGTGTTAGTGAGTTAGAGGTAACTTGTCTTAAAATTGTAAATGCTTCTTGAAATACTTAAAGTACTGCTGAGCTAGCAGAAGCTGAGACCAAGATTTATGGGATGAATATGGAAAGGTGACACCAATGTGCTATTTTTAATGAGTTTCTGGCCGTAGAAGACAAGCATATGTGTACTTGTGCCTACTACACTTGTGTCAGCTTATAAAAAACAATCGTAGTAGGAGACACATCAGCTTTGTTAATAAATGCAGGCATAGATATTTGACCTGTTACCAGTGACAGACTTTTCATGCTTCATAATGGGTAACTTAAGCTGCTTTCTGGGCCAAAAAGCCATAAGGACTCATTTTTTTACAGTAGAACCATTTGAGTTACTGAAGCATTCATTCCTCATATCTGACTTATCTTCAAGTGGACCTCTGAGCAGGAAAGAAGGGAAAAAACCCATAAGGTTTTTAGGACAACAAGATCCTGAACACTTTAAATACGTCTGAAGTTGTCCCTAGTGTTCTGCCTCTGAAGCAGGGTCCAGACAAAAGGCTCCCTGATTTTCTAATTGCTTTCTTGAGATGCTCTTTGGCAAACAAGCCCACAGACCTTCTCAGACGCCTTTATCAGTTTCTGTAGAAATCTGCAGTGAAAACAAAAGGAGGGGAGGCGGGCAGAGGCTCATTTTGAGAAAGATGGTGACCAGAAATTTACTGCTGGTGCTCTACAGCTTCTACTCAGAGGGTCTCTGACTGCACTACTTGTAACTGTTGTTCTGTTTTTTTTATGAATTGCTTTTACTCTTTCACGTAAATTCCCCTGGGAAAGTATACTGAACTATTTAATCGTGCTGTGATGGAGTTCTGTATCGCATTGCTGCTAGCATACATGTGTGTCCAATGCGGAGTTCAGCGCACGAGCATACGGTATGGCATTAGAGTAAGTTGAGAAATCTCATGACAGTGTCTTGCATCTGAAAAATAGCGAAGTACATATCTATTTCCCATGGACTTGCAAAATCTTTGCTTTCTCGCAGTTGACTTCCATTAAGCCCCTCAGGTCCCAAACGTCTCTTTCCCCTCAGTGTTCCATCAATGATGGTGCAGAGTTCAAAGCAGTGGCTGATGCCATGAAGGTGATAGGCTTCAAGCAAGAGGAGATTCAGACTGTCTACAAAATAGTGGCAGCCATTCTTCACTTGGTAAGCTCTCTGCCCGCAGGTATGAGTAGGCTGTTCTTCAGGAGGGGTCAAGCAGTATACTTGTACTTCCAGCAGCTCTAATTTTCTTGCTGCAGAAGCAGTTGGAAGATCTGTTGGCTGGAAAAGTGTATACAGTTTACAACTTCCAGTGGTGAGTGAAATTCCTTGACGAAATAGGACACTGCAGTAATGATGGAAGATCACATTTATTCCTGCCTATTCCAGATCCCAAACCAGACATATCACGAAGTACTGGGAGCTGTTAAATGTTCTGAAAGGGAATTGAAGGAATTGTTTGGGTTTGGCAGTGAGGGGGTAGGGAGCTCTCACCTTGCTATCCTTCTTGTCCCCTTTTACCCTCACACTCACCACCACCACTGTGGTTTTGCTGGAGGGAAGGTAGTTCACGTCATGGTGGAGGCTTGAGCAGAGCCAGATACAGGAGACCTCTTAATTCTCTGTGTTCTGATGCTAAGGAAATCCTTCCTTCACCCGTATTCTCCTGGGACCCGAGAGTCTCCTCCCCTGCGCAGTGTCCTTGTACCTCAGATCTTACATTTGAGTAGAGAAGCATCGCAGGTGGGCGGGAGGAAGGTGGCAAAGAAAACGGTAGCTTTTTTCCAATTTTTTCTCCTCCTGGGAGTAGTTATGCCCCAGTGCTGGGGAAGGGAGTGGAGGTAAGAGTCAGGCCATGCAGACAGGGTGTGAGATGACTCCTGCAAATAATGCAGTGGTGTTGCTTCTTAGTCCTGGCACTGCAGCTATTCAGTAACAAAGCTGTTGTGGTAGTGCACTGTCAATCCAGTCCTGTTAGCAGTGCTGACTTGTCAGCTTCCCCAGAATATTCACATTACCTTTGTGGGCAATAGCATTGCAATAAGAACTGCAGCCTAGCGTTTTTGTGGTGGGCTGCAGTGAAGATGAAATGCTATATCCAGCGTTTGTATACTTAATGTCATTACGCACCACTAGATTCTGAATCCTGAGACAGTGTTTGATTAAACCTCTGGAAGTGTTTGATGTAATTTTTTTCCAAAAGCTGAGCTGAACACTGAAAAATCAGGCTTTGCCGCTTCCACTGTTGTTGGAGCTTTATGGGTACATGGATACGCAAGGCCCACCCTTCTAATGTGTTAGGAGATTTACTGACTTGAATAGCAGGTGGCATATGGATGAACTTGGGGTGCACTGATTCATATTAATAAAAGACAGATTGAGAAATCTAGTTTCTTGCTACTTATTGCAGGGAAACTTGAAGTTTTCTGTGGATGGTGATACGCCTTTAATAGAAAATGGCAAGGTTGTGTCCATCATCGCAGACTTGCTGTCAACAAAATCTGACATGGTGGAGAAGGCTCTTCTGTTTCGAACTGTGGCTACAGGTCGGGATGTCATTGACAAACAACATACTGAACAAGAAGCCACCTACGGCAGAGATGCCTTTGCAAAAGTGAGCTTAAATTTCCTTTCTCTGCATCCAATTTTGCATGTGACAGTAACTCAGACTCATTTCTTCTGCTTTTGCCTTTTGGTTGAGTTGTACTTGGTGCAGCAAAGAATGGTGATGCCTGAGGAAGGTATTCAATATTGAGTTGCCTTCATAACTGCACATCTTTCAATGCTCGGGTCCCGGTAGGGTTCCTGGGTGGATCAGTAAGTATAGTGCTTGCTGAGACACAGGAAGTCTGTACTTAATGCAGATTTATTTCTGAATGTATGCACTCCTGTGTTCTATAGGGGGATTGCAGCATCCCTACCCTTCCCTGGCTGTGACACAGCATGCACCACAACCAGCAGTGCTTGCGGCACATGAAAGAGGAGAGGGAGCTGCAAGCCTGGCTTGATCGCATCTGCAAAAGGAATATGTTGTGCAGGGCTGAATATTTTGCGAAGTACAATTCTTGACTTCATTTAGCAGTTAAATTCAAAGAGTAGAGAGTGGAACTGTAACATCTAGAACTCAGGTTGGAAACCCAAAGTGCTGTCTTTCTTTTTGGAAAGGTGGATACTGGTGACCGAAGGAATGACAATTGTCCTTCCTTTGTTAGGAAATCAAATGACAAGGAAGGAACAGATGAAGTTTCAAAGATTCTTGATTATTAACTTGACTTTTTTTCCTAAGATTATATGTTTGCACAGCTTCGCAGTACATTTTGAACATGCAGACTGCAAAGATACCTATGCCTACAGAAAATTTTCTTTTTGAAAGGTGAACAGGAATATTTTACTGCCATTGTGGTCAGTTATTAGGTTTCTGTAACTGAACTCTCACTTGCTCTTCAGTGTTGTTAAATTATTCTCAGGTATGGAAGTTATTAGGCAGATGAAAAGCAGACTGGAATCAAATTAGGGGAACCACTGTACCTAGTGACCTCACTAGGATTTAGACTTCGTGTAAGCAAGTTTTGGAAGAAAGAAAAAAAAATATTTTCACTGAATATTTTCTTCTTGTCAGTAGCTGTTCACTTTTAGGAGAATGTTATCTGTAGCTTTTGTTTAGCTAGGGCAGCATCTTGAATTAAGCTTTGTAGCACCATGTGTTGCATTTACCAGAAAGAACTGAGATAAATGAAGGCAAAATTCCTCAGTATTTGTTTCCTGGCAGGCTATATACGAGCGCCTTTTTTGTTGGATTGTGACACACATCAATGATGTGATTGAAGTGAAGAACTATGACACTACAGTACATGGGAAAAACACTGTCATTGGCGTCCTGGATATCTATGGCTTTGAAATATTTGACAATAACAGGTGAGCCACATTGCTAAAGCACAGTGCTGTGCCTTCTCCTTTCCCAGAAAACTCATCACCTTTTTTTCTTATGTTTTTGCAGTTTTGAGCAATTTTGCATTAATTACTGCAATGAAAAGCTACAGCAGCTCTTTATTCAGCTGGTTCTAAAGCAGGAGCAGGAAGAGTACCAGCGAGAGGGAATTCCCTGGAAGCATGTGAGTGATTTGGCAGGGCAGGGAGAAGTCGATTTAAGTCCAGTGTACCAAAATAAGTCCCAGATCTGAAGTTGCTCCACATGTATGCTCCTGTCGAAGTCGATAGGACATCTGTGTCCACACCAGCTGTACTGTCAGACTTGCTGTCTGGAAATCAGGCTGTGGAAGAAGCTAACCGTTTATCTCACAACATTTCTATATTTGCCATGGTTTGGGAAAGTGAGTGACTCCAGGTCTGAGTTAAAACATATTGTGGCATCTCTGTGATGCGACACACATCACTATGTGTTTCTGTTGTGAGACCTTATGTATTTTGTCTAGTTGTAGATATTCAAGTATAAAAATCTTGAGTTCTCCTGTTCAAATTCCTTTCATAATGCTGAGGACAAGATGCGCGGTTTTCACTGTGGTGACTGTGCGCAGCTGATTTTTAAAAGACGTTTTAAAGTGCATTCTGTAGCAGTTGATTTTTAGCAGCGTTCTCGAGATTTATGTGAGGTGTTTGAAAGATCACCTTCTCTGCTGTTCAGTGGTAGAAGAGTAGCCTGCTTGATTTTGAGTTGGTGATCGACGTATTGAAAGCTGATTGCTTCTTCTGTGAATGGTGGGTCCCATTCTCTCTGTCAGACACATGGTAGTGTTCATCAGTGGTCAACACTGGTACTCCTCTCTTTCACTAGCCAAAGTCACAAATATACCTGTTTTTTGTTTTTTACAGATTGATTACTTTAACAATCAGGTCATCGTCGACCTGGTAGAGCAGCAGCACAAAGGGATCATCGCCATTCTGGATGATGCCTGCATGAATGTTGGAAAAGTTACAGACGAGATGTTCCTCGAGGCTCTTAATAACAAGCTAGGGAAGCATGCTCATTTCTCCAGCAGAAAGGTAACATACTCCTCTGTCTCCTCAAAACGTGCTTCCTTTCCTGTGTGATGCCTCTTCTATTCTTTTTAGACTTAACAGAGTAAGGAAAAAGGCTTGCTGGGGTTGGAATCGTTACCATCGAGTATGAAATGAAATGCCTGAGAGCAGCAGCAGCTCCTAACTACAGAACAGGCCGTCTGGGCTGGGTTTCGGTCGCGCCTGGGGCGGCCCCGTATCCGGCAGAGGGAGCTGCAGTATGTCCAATGTGAGATCAGTTTTATTCCAGCCATAAAAGAAGCGTGAGCTTGTGCCTTGACATATCATGATGTCATCTGTAGCCAATCGATGCGCAGTTTCAACCCACGTGACGTTCTTCCCAGGCTGCTCTAATACATAGTGACAGTGAAATTATTCACACTTCTGCTTTATTACAGCACTGTGATTTTTTTTTTTTTTCCATCATCATTGGCTACAAGACATGTTCATCTCAGATTGTACCTATGATCATCCAGGCCCCTCGACTTGCTTTGTTTTTGGTACAATGTACGAATTAAAAGGCTTTATTTATTCCTCACTTGGCAGCATATTGAAAAAACCTGATTAATCTGAGAATCTTTCACGCTGAGTAATCAAATAAGGGCCTTTAATTTATTGATGTCTCTCTACTGAGAAACGTTGTTTGAAATACATCGTTCAGGATGCTGGTTCCCCCCTTCTCCCTCCCACCCCAGTACAATATTTTATGTAGGTCAGAAATACAGAATTAGCATGGTTGTATAAGATACGTGCTAAAGGCTGCCTCCAGGGAGGCTGAATATAAACAATAGAGCTGGATGTGGCTTGTTTGGGTAGAGGCTAGGATAAAAATAAACTAACCCCTTTTTCCTCCCAGATGTGGCTTTCCTTAAGTGCCCTTTAGCTGCAGCACACCTGGCATCTCATCTGCCACATGCATCCTAGCTGAGGGAGGGGGAACGGGGAATCTTGCTTTCCATGTTAACCTAGATTTTACGTGCTTAAGCAGCAGATGCATAGCGTGATCTGAGTAAACTCACCTGAAAACAAGAATTTTTGCCTGGGTTTCTACATTTTAATGCAAATTGCTTCCTTTAGTAGTACTAATGATTGTGAATAGTGAAGCCTGGGGGGATGGAGGCTTAAATCCTCTGCAGTGGGATAGTGTGGGAAGTGGTCCAGTTTCTGGAGCTGTCTAGTCAGTAGATGTAAGCTGGTAGAGAAAGAAGTTCAGTTTCTGTTCTGTTCTTGGTCTCGTGTCTGCTAAGGTGAAGTGGTTCCATCTCAGAGAGAGCAGGTAGTACTTTGATACAGTGGGGAAGAGGGCTGAATTTCATAAAGTATATGGGAGGCTATAAAATGAAAATTAAAAAAAAAGAAATTCTGTTTGTCCTTACCTTCAGGAGTCCCTTCACAGCGTAGGAAACATTAAAAGAAAATATTGGCAGTTGCAGCATTCCTCAGTAGGGGGTGGCATTGTCAGAAAACTGTTTGCACAGACTAAGGGAAACAAGGAATACTGCTATAAATAATGTTTATGGAGGGTATGATGTATCTTCCTGGCTTGCTAATTTCTAGTTTAAATCAATATAGCCTTGAAAAAATTGACCCACAGAACTCTCAGCATTGTAATTATTTTTCCCCCTCTCACGTCTTTGCAGATGTCCTTTCCCAGTATCTAAGATATCTTCCTCAGTCCCATCTGGAACTCCTGTAGGAAACCTGAGCTTTCTAAGCCAGCCTCTTCTAGCTTGAATTAAAACGAAGGACTTGATTTTATTTCATAATTAGTTTTTGTAGACTGCAGTAGTTCTGTCCAGATACTATAAAGTTCAGCATAGATCAAAGCTGTTCCTAAAGAGTTAAAAGTATGTGTGCTATGTTATGGGAACAGCTCCCATCTTTCAGCCTGAGTTAATGCTTCACTGCTCCCCTGTAGAGCAGGTTGCACACTGGCTCCATGTGGATAAGCTCTAAGGGGCTGCTGTGCCCTAAATAGTAGTGTCCTAATTTGTGTACTGCATGTCTGATCTGCTGCTGTCTGCTTGGTTGTCCTGGTGAAAGCCAAACAAACCAGGAAAAATACTGGCAAACACTTCCACTATGAGTATTTGTGGCAAAATTTTATGTTCCTAGAGCATGGGTCGTCCTTATCTGAATTCTCTAATGCTAATCTAGATCTGTAGACACGCTCACTATTCTGATAGTACTTCTCAACATCACAGGCTCTTTTTCTCAACATCTTTAATTTTTTCAGTTGATCTTAGACTTTTAAAGGATCAAGTGCAGTGATAGTCTATGAATTCCTAAATCTTCAAATAGTGGAAAGTTCTCATTAGTGTCAATCTCAACAAACTAATTGTGAAGGGAGGAGTATGAGGAGGTCCATTCTAGTCCACCTGACATAGTATCTTCCAAGACACTAGGCAATAGTGAAGGTCTAAGGTCAAATGCGTGATGATAATTTGATATGCTCCCAGTCTCCAGTGATCTGCGGTCCAGGAACCTCCTGAATCAGGGCTAGTGTCCTTAAGAGTTTTTTTCTTTTTTTTTTTTTTTTTTTTTTAAATCGACAAAGAATTCCACAGCTTAGATACTCACGTGAAGAGCTCTTTTCTTCCCGTTTTCATCCCTTTTTCCTTTTAGGTGACATCTGTTGCCTCCTAGTTCTTGAACAGCAAAACACGGTTCACTGTGTCTTCCAATACATCATCTCCATGTTGATTGCCATCGTCTCCTGGCATTTCATTCTTAACCTGAAAAGGCTTAGTTCATTTGGCCCTTCCTCCTGTGGCAGTCAGTATGGTTGATAGGTTTTGCCCTTCATCAAGCCTCTTCCAGTTCTCCTGTGTCCTTTTTGAGATGGAGGATAGTTAAGATATTTGTTGTGTTGGGAACCGACAGCTTGGGGCCCATCATTGGCCATGAACTGTGGTTTTTCTCTGTGTGTATCACTGTATTTATGTTGAATTTCATTTGCTGCTCTTTGCCATTCCTTTAGCCTCTCCTGTCTTCCTGCAGTTCTTCACAGCCAGCCATTGTTTCTACTTCTCTGAATAATTAAGTACCACCAACAAGCCCGATCACCTTCCTGTTACCCTCAGATCATAGCTCATTTAAGACGACGTTAACAGTGTAGAACTCAGCACAGGCCCCCGCAGGACTCCTGTTTCCCATCTTTCCAGCAGTTATCTGTGTGAGGACCCTTTCTCTTATCTTTCATAGCAGCTTAAATTCTTTGAGTTGTTAGTGAGGAACTTTGTGAAAAAAGGCTCAGAGAAATCCAACAGACTATCAACTGTATCAAAACACTTGCTGGGTTTTTTTTTTAATAATTTCAGCTGATTTGCCCAGTAGACACAAAGTTCAGAGAGAATCGCTCCTTAAAAAAACCAACATATTTTAGCATCATGTTAAGCCAACTTCCAGTCTCTCCAGTACTGGATGAGTTTTAAGCGAGAAGCTTGTGCAGCCAACCGTGTCCCATCTGGTAGCAGTGGTTGCTTCATTTCGTTATGTTTTTGCTTGTCTTATATCTCTCCTATTGACATGTTGGTTTGAGATGTATGTTTTGGCTGGTTGAAAAAAGGCATTACATCCTCTGTAGCCCCTTGCTGGTGAACACAGCTGCAAAAAGAAAAATGTCTTTGTTTTCCTGGTATGGCCTCATTTCTTCATTTTCTCTGTGTTCCTTCTACACCTTGGTCATCTATCAGCTCTGCAGACCCTGGCGTGCTTCCTGCTTCTGCTGTGCTGGACTTCTTATTCCTTTGTAACCTTCTGTGTACCGTGTTAACTCAAACTTTTTGGTTTCCTCCGTCCGATTTTTCTTTTTTAATATATTTTATTTTCTTTTTTTACATCTGTTCTGTCAGTTTGAGCCAATCTATTTTCTACTCTTGGACACAGGTAAAGTTTTTTTGAAGGATATCTTCCTGCTTCGAATAATCTCTCTTGCCCTGCAATTTAACCATGCTAATTTCCTCTTTTATTTTCCCAAGACTTTTGGTGGATAGTAGATATTTGCTCATAGCCCTCGGTGTTTTTAAATGGTGCCCATACTTCTTGCAAAGACTTAATTCATCTACCTGCCCCTTTTGGCTTTAACAAAAATCCTCATTTTTATCTTGTTCTCCTTTTTAATTAAGCTGAGCCTGATGGATTTCTTGGCTTCTGTTGTTCCTGAAGGGATGAGTGTATTATGGCCACTGCTACGAATGGCTGCCATGTGGGCACTTGACATCTTTGTGGTAGTGAAGGAATGTAATGGGAAGTCTGAGCTGAGAGCAGAGGGTTGGAGCTGGACCACCCTGGGTGGATCTGCAGGGGTGGTCACTGTTTGAGGGGTCTTAGATGATCTAGAGTGATTTGGGACAGAACAAGCATTGCTATTCTAACTGTCATATTTTGATTGCTTCATTTCTTTGCTGAGGAGGGATATTGCAATGGAAAAAAAATAAAAGAAGGCTTAAAAAAAAAGTCATAAATTAACTCTTAGGTGCAATGTTTCTCTACATGCACGAATGTTCTTTTTGCTTAATGGCGTTTTTGAGGTAGTATCAATTTTTGAATAAAACTATAGGCTCTTGCAACTTGATTTTGTACAAATATATGTTCTTATAACACATCCATGAAAAAATATTATAAAGCAGTGTTACAACTGCATTTCACATCTACACATGCATATATAAAGTGGAATAACTATAGTTTCTATTTCTATTTCCAATGCATTTTGCTCTTCCATGAAACTTGAAAGTCCACGGGTGATGCTTTAATGTATGTGAATTTATTTTAGCTTTGTGCAACTGACAAAACGCTGGAGTTTGACAGAGACTTTCGAATCAAGCACTACGCCGGAGATGTGATGTAAGTTTCTTTCAGAAATAAAGTTGCACCTTCTATTTTTGTCTTTTAGCCAGCTTTGAAGTGGTACAATATTCTGATTTAATGCTGCTTCTGGTATGAACCAGAATAGCTGTCATACAGAATTAGAGAGTGCAGCAGTTGCTTATCAATTAAATCTTATTCTGTTACTTGCTATACAGAATATGATTTTGTACTTGGAATTGAAACAAAAGGAGAATGTGGGGAAGGGGGGTGAGGGCAGAGCAGGAAAAAAAAGGAGAGAAAAAAAAAAAGCCAGCACTGTTTATGCAAGAAAGCTATACTGAGCTAATAAAATCTGGTTTAGACATCTGTTTAGTATGATTATATAACTCTCTGGCTTTAAATTCTCAAATCAGTTTGAGCAGACTCAAAATAGAGCGTAGTGTTAACCTGAAATAAGTATCAGTGCAAGGAGCCTTCCCCGTTCAGGTTGAAAAGTTTTCTGTACCTGAAGCCTACAAAAATGTTCACAGTATGTGACAGTAATGTGAAGGAAGATTAAGTAGAAGTGAAAGATGCCCATATGTTAGAAACTGTTCACTTGGAAAGCTGTTGTCTGGAATATCACTGGAGTGATCTAATGGTTTAGGATTTGTGTAACTACCCGTGCCAGCAGAATCTAAAGGGAGTTAATGACGAAATAATTTAGGATTTCTTTTACCTTGGGATTAAATTTACCTTTAATTTATAAGGGTAACCAGTGGGTCATGCTGGAGCCCATTCAGCGCAGCTAGATTTTGTTCTGGAGTCTTTACTGAGCGATTGCTGATAGACATCTGTGATTTCAAAGCATTTTGCCAAGGAGGAGAGAATGCAAGGTGCCATATTAGTGGTTGAACCTTCTGCACTGCCAGTGGCTGAAAAATTTTGTAAAAGAAAACTGAAATGTCGAAATATTTGCAGATAATATTTGAGCCTGAACTGTGTTATGTGGAGCAGTAAGATTTGGGGGTGGCTCCGTGCAGGGATTTGAATGTTGTGGGGCTCTGGATCCCAGTGCCTGCAGTTTAGGTGCAGCCTTCCTGGGGGTGGATCTGAAGCTCAGGAAGCAACTGAGTGGGGTCACTGAATGGGGAGATTTTGGACCTTTTCTTTGAGGACAGAGCACTGTCTGTCCTGAGTCTTGGAGAAGAGATGAAACTCTGAAACGATAATCTTTCAGGGTGGTATTTCTGTGGGAATAGAGAAAGGAAAGAGTCCCAAATGTGTGTGTGTGTGGATTTCCAAGAGAGTTCCCTAATCACTGGTTATAGGCTGCTCTTGATTTCTGGCACTCTCCCACTAGAGAATCTTCCTTGACACCAAGAGAGGGATGGACTGAAAAAGAAAACTTAATTTCTGTAGGATTTAACACAAACACATGCTCTGAATTCGGAGGCAGAAGTCCTGAGTGTAACTCTGGAATTTGGGCCATCTACAACTTGCTCAAGTCCTGCTAGGTGTCTCAGCTGTCATGCTCTTCACCTGCATAGTTCAAATAGCTTTCTAAAACTCGATGGATGTTGTTCTGCGCTGGAGATGGAAAGCTGGGCAGAAGGATCTAAGGATCTAAGTCTCACATAGCAAATTAGTGATAGGTTGGGAAACAGAGCTGGATTCCTGATTAGCATCTGCTGTGTCTGTAGGAGTGCAAGGATGCCGATTCCACGCTGATACCAGCAGCTCAGAGAAGGACTTTGCTTCTTTGCAATTGACTCTATTTTCCTTTTTTTTTTTTTTTTTCCCCAGTTACTCAGTCACTGGATTTATTGACAAAAACAAGGACACTTTATTTCAAGACTTCAAGCGTCTCATGTACAACAGGTAGGAATAAAAATATTAATGAGGTGAATTTAAATCTGATTTGTCAGAATTCTTTTTTACGGAGTGGATGCTAGAAGAGACTAACATTTTCACTGATGCTATCTTTACTGTGTGTGCAGTGGATGTGAATAAACACATTGCTTTGGGATTTGATCTTGGTATATCTACTGCGACCCGAAGGCTGTTAGTCTGATTTTTCAGTATAAAGTCCTTATTCTGTATATGTTGGTTTTGTTCTGATATAACCTTTAATTTAACTAAATTTAAAGTGTTTGTTTGAACCCAACTCATTGTGCAATCAAGATAGCTGTGCAGAGATTACCTGTGCTGCTTGATTTGTCATTAACCAGGTTTTTGGACCAGTTGCAAATGTACCATTCCTGATCTCTCTTTAATCAATGCTGAAGATACTGAGTAGCATTTGGTCAACAACAGATATCATTGGCCCCAGCTAGAAGTCCCTGTTTTGAAAGAAAGTTTAGGGTTGAGGGGAAAAATGGGCAAATAGATTCGAATCCTTTTCGTATGTGCAATGACATGAAAAATTTAAACCATGTAGTCACATGTTATAAATACTAATTAGGCAAGTAAGAGTTGCCTTTGACAAGCAAATTTAAAATCCTATCAAAACGTGTGTGTGTATATAAGTGCCCCAGAAAGCTGTTTTCCTTGACGGTTGGCATTAAACATGTTCTAATTCTTGTGTAACTGTGGCCTATCGTAACCTTTCAGAGACTTTGCTCAGAAGTAGAAGTCAGCATAAAATCGCCTGCAGCTGCATGGACAACTCTGTTTACCTGGTTTAAAAGCTAGTACGACTATTAAGTTAGTTTACAGTCCTGTTACGTTTACTCAGTGTACTCCCTTGAACAGCCTTGCTGTTCATGTTTTCAAGACTTCATATTAACCAAAAACCTCCAAAATATTTGCTGTAAGGAGGTTTTATTAAATTTAGCCTCTGTTTTCTGTTAAGTTTCTGGTAAAGACTGTTCACAAAGACCACTTACGGCATATTAAAGCGTGTCATAGTTTGGCTATTAGATTGCTGTAACTGCTTTAAGCTTTTGTCTGTTCCAGAGCTCTTGCCATCCATCATGGCCATTTTACCTCACCTTCAACCCTTCAAGAAAATGTAGGCTAAAATGTATAAATTATTTTACATATCAAGAATGGTGCAGAAATACAGCTTGAAATCAGACAGCAAGTTTCAAGGGAGGATGTTGTGGGCTATGGTCTTACTCTTTTCTGTTTTGATTAAATTCTTTATGTTGTGGCAGCAAGGCAGAGTCTGCTTTTGATAGATGACTTCTGCAGGTTTTTTACTATCCCATTACTGCACATCTTTATCTGAAGAGGAGAATGCGCTTGTCATTTTTCCAGAATATTTGGTTGTAAGCTTGAACAGTATATTGCTCAAGAGCAAGACATGTTTTGCCCAGGAATGTCATATTGGTTTGGTTGATACATTTGGAGCTGAAAACACCAGTAGATCTGGACAGAAACAAGCTGTTGAATTTTGAATTTAGTGGAACTGCTGTTAGACTGTGCAATTAAAGAGACTCTCTTTTAGCTCTAATCCTGTGTTGAAGATGATGTGGCCTGAAGGTAAACTGAGCATCACTGAGGTAACCAAGCGACCTCTGACAGCTGCTACTCTTTTTAAGAACTCCATGATTGCACTAGTGGACAACCTGGCATCGAAGGTAAATATTTCTGTTTCAAAATCGACTCCAACTTCTGATTAGTAGGGTGTAGCTTCTCCGTGGAGAGACTGCCACCTTCCTATTACTGCAATCGGTCGGAAAGCTGGGCTGATCAGTGGCAGATGAGCTTTGGTTGTGACAATGGGCAGCTGTGAAGATCTCGTAGGGGAGTTAGCTGCCATCCCTGCATAAAGAAGGTGGATTTTTGTTTCCTCCGTGACCAGTGTATCTTTCGCTTGTAGGAAAGCCAGTCTCTCTTTGGTAATAATTACTGTATCAAATAAATAATCGTCTCTAACAAAGCTCTTTTGGCAGAGGGCCCAGAGGATGTAGTTTCACGGTGGAGAGATTCTCTCTTTCTGGCTTTCAATGCCGAGTGAATTCCGTGAAAACACAGGCAGACCTGTGTGATTTCCTTCTTTCCTCCTCTTTGCTGTGCCAGAGGGTGAGAAGTGAAACGTTTTATTTTACTAAATAATTAAGTTTTATAGTAGAAGGTATTGCTTTGGCAAGCACCACTTTGTGTGAAGAAAGGTAGGTGAGGGAATGAACTGGGAAGGGGGCTGTTTGAACCTGGTGCAGCCAAGTGGCAGGATAAGGCGAGCAGTGTGATCCCTCATGCGAGCAGAGATCACTGAGAAATAATTTGGGTGTTACTGATGCCGGGTGACCTTGCTGGACTCCTGGCATTTTGGTAGTGTTGTGGAAGGGGTATGTGGTCCACAAGAGATGAACAGTAAGCCCAGGGTAGTGGTATATGTTAACATTTAGAATAATTAAACAATAAAGGGCAATGTGTTCTGACTTTCTTCTCGGGAGTTGTGGTAGCAAAGGAAATGTTAGTGGCCCATGATCTGGAGGGAGAACGTGCACGCAGATGCGGTAAGGCTAGGGAAAGCTATGTAGAAAGATGATCCGTGTTCTAATAAGAAGACCTTATTAGAAGAGCAGAGCACTATTGGAATTCTTGCTTGGAGTGGCAGCCACATGCATAACAAAGTCTTCATAAGTGCTGTATTGGTCAGAGCACAGTCATACGGTACTGGCTATGCGCAGGAAGAGAGAACTACCCGCACTGGGAATATTACAAGAAATAGTATATTGCTTCATATTTTCCAAAATTAAGAGATGAAAACATGCTCGCTTTATATTTTTGAGTTCTAGTTCTGGAGTGGATTTAATCTTCAGCAGTAAATCTGCAGGAGGGTGTGCAAGCCCGACCAAAGCTGACTCAAGGTGGTAGCTGAGCTTTCTGACTGAGGAATGAAGCCCCGCGGTTCTCCCCAGTAAGTGTGTGACTAAGGGCTGCTAAGAGGATGCCCTTGGTAGCCCAGCCAAAGGCCAGGTCTTGCTTTAGGCAGGGACCGTTAATAGAAGTGGAGAGAGGTCCCACTTCACTGCCTGTGCAGCCAAAGAGGAGCTTTCCTGGATGGCAAATCATGAGCTTGTTGGGGCTGGAGAATGTGGCCGTGACCCTGATGGAAGGGAGATGGGGCAGACTTTAGTCAGACTTTCCAAGGAGTCAAGATTTACCTGATCTGTCAGTCCCCCAAATAATTTGTTGGCTAGCCCTAACCTAAATTTGGGTATAGAGATCTCAAGAACCCAGAAAGGTTTCTCTGTGTGTTGTGAAAACGAGTAGTTGGGGAAGGAAAAAGATTCTGATTGATGCCACTTGTTGTTAATGCAGATCTCTGTCGTACAGAGCACTCACGTTATCTCTTGCCTAATCAAATGGGTAAGGAACCTGACGCACCGCAGTGAGGTGTTTCAAGCAATACAGACAAAAACTGCTGGGGGTGTTGTAGTGGAGGGCTGTGATCAAGGGGGGATAGCAGGGAGATTTGGCAAGCGCTCGTGGAAAAACTTCATTTGCTTGTTTATTGGAAAAATTATTCTAGGCCACCTGGTATTTGTAAAAATAGAATAGTCAAGAGAATGCCGTGCACTGTGTGGTGGTTTGAACAATTCCTACAACTCACCGTGGGAGACGAAGAGTTTAAATCGCACGTTATCCATCTGGAGTCAGTAGGTACCAAAATTCATCATCGAAAGCTGGCTGGCTTATGTGAAATGAGTTAGTTTCATTCCATTTATCATCAGTATCTGTATCACAAATGTCAGCCTTTTCCAAGGATAGGCCATATTCAGGATAGCTCGTGGATTCACTAGGAAGCTGCTATGTGTGTCACAGTACACACCTTTCCCGTTCTTTACCTTCTCTAAATTTTCATTGAGAAAGTTGTATTGAAGATGTTGGGGTTTTCCTGGTTTTCTGTTGAATAGCAATGGAGAAAATTGTCTTAGAGCATTATATTTCCCAGAGAGCTATGGATCCCATTAAAGGGAAGGCTCTCATTAAACAGGCGTGTTTGTCAGGACTTAACAAGGGCTCTTGCCAAGCAGGAGGGAGCCAAGGGCTGTCTAGGTTGTGCAGTGTTTTATGGCCAACCTTTAGCATGATGGAGGGCTGGAACGAAGGGGGTGAAATTCACACTTTGCAGTCTGTTGTTCAAAAGTTTACACAGCTAATGCTCCTTGCAGAACAGTGTTTGTAGGTACTTAAGCTTGCAAACTAAGTTACGTAGTTGAGCTTTAGCTATTTTTAGTGGAGAACCTGGCTGTTACACATCTTAAAAACCCCCAAAATTTGGTGACACCCATCCTGAAGTCAAGCTTATGTTACTTTAAAGGGTGTAAATTTTGGTGCGTCCTAGAAAGGAGAGGTTGCTGATAAGGGTCCTGAACACAATCGTGTACTTGAAATGGTAAAATAGAGTGCAGAGAGATAGTGCTTCTGTTTGGCCATTGTGCCCTGAGGATCTCTTTGAGGTGACTTTTCGGACAGTTAATAATATGTGCATGTTATTAACAAGCTAATAACTGGGCATTTAAGCTCTGCTTTGTTAGACACTGGTTGTGCACAAATAAATGGGATACTCTGCCTCTGAGTCATTGCCAGTTTGGATACTTGTCTCAGCACTCTGACTTCTGCTGGGGGCTGGAGAGCGGGTGAACAGTTGCTGTTCCTGGGCTGGTAAAACCACTGTCTCTTTTGGGGACACCACCCATTGCAGTTACGGGTACTGTAATTCTTCCCTTGGGTCGTGTTACTCATTTTTCCCGTGCTTAACTTGGGACCAGAGTTGCACTTCTGGGGATCAACAATGACAACGTCTACGTGTCTGACTGCGGTTTGGACCCTGTAGGACTTTTTTTGGGAAGCTTGTGGTAACAGCTGATGAAAACAGCTCTCTGAAAACAGCATTGCACAAGTGGTGTTAGCTGCTGTGGTCTACGGATGTCAGAGGAATAAGGTTCCATAGGGAGAGGTAATATCAGTTCATGTTTTTCTCAGCTGTTTCTCAAAAAAACAACATGAAGATAGGCTTGAATTTTGTTGCAGTTTGAGCTGGTGATTTATTAACGTTACTGGAGTGTGTCCAGTATATAAGTGCAGTCAGTGCTGCTTTTCTCATCCTGGCCTCCCATTCCACCTGCGCTGTTCGTGCTTATTTAATGTTTCTCCATAAACTGCTTTAAACCATATTTATGTGCTCTGTTTCTACAGTCCTCAAACAGAATGGCAGTCCAAGAGCTCTTCTTCATTGCTACTCATTTGGCCTTCCTGAAAAGCTGCAGGTTTTTTGGCAGTATCAACAGTATCTTTAAACTTGTCATTTGGGGGAATAGTCTCCAAAAATGCTAATTTGGTGGGCAGGAATAGTAATAATATCAGAAACAAAGCTCAAAGTCTGTGAATACAGTTCCTACAGCATTAGATGGTGATTTAACTTTTCCGGTTTTTAAAATAACCATCTTTAAAATTCTGTTCTGTTGGTATTCTGGTTTAAATCTGAAATTCGGTGATAAGCAGAGTTCTGCGGTTCCTGAGAGGAAGGGGCAGGTGGTGTGGTTATTAGGGTATCAGGTGCTTCCATTAGGGTGAGTAGCATAAAAGTGTTAACACCGCAGGAGCTGTTCACAAATATGGTTTTAACTTCAGCTTGTATATACATGTGTCCATACAAGCATGAAGACTCAGGAAATATGTTTTTGGAGGATGCTGAGTTGAAGTGGTGCTTATCAATACTGGTTTCTCAATAATACTGTAATGCTCCAGGCTTACACTGAGAGTCTTTTGGGCAGAAACCTCTAGTAGGTAGAAAAAAGTGCTTTTTTTAAAAAAAACCAAACCGACCAAAACAAAAACTAGCTTTACAGGGTTGCCATGTAACATTTGTAGTGAGGGGCCCAAAACTGAACACAGTATTCGAGGGGAACTGGGTTCAGTTTTGGGCCCCTCGCTACAGGAAGGACATTGAGGTGCTGGAGCGTGTCCAGAGAAGGGCAACAAAGCTGGTGAAGGGCCTGGAGCACAAGTCTGATGAGGAGCGGCTGAGGGAACTGGGGCTGGTTAGCCTGGAGAAGAGGAGGCTGAGGGGAGACCTCATCACGCTCTACAACTACCTGGAAGGAGGTTGTAGCGAGGTGGGGGTTGGTCTCTTCTGCCAAGTAACCAGCGATAGGACGAGAGGAAATGGCCTCAAGTTGCGCCAGGGGAGGTTTAGACTGGACATTAGGAAAAACTTCTTTCCTGAAAGAGTGGTCAGGCCTTGGAACAGGCTGCCCAGGGAAGTGGTGGAGTCCCCATCCCTGGAGGTATTTAAAAGACGTGTAGATGAGGCGCTTAGGGCCATGGTTTAGTGGGCATGGGGGTGTTGGGTTGACGGTTGGACTCGATGATCTTAGAGGTCTTTTCCAACCTTAATGATTCTATGATTCTATGATTCTATGATTTCTCAAGCACATGTTTTACTGCCCATGCTGTTCTCTTGAGGATTTGGTCTTTTTGTGATGAATTAGTTTGGGTGGCTTTTCTTTTAAATACTGACACGGGCAGTCCTTTGGCTGACACGGCTGTAAATGGTGAGCTTCTCTAGGAACTCTCTCTGGACATGCATATCTCTCCCCCCCTCCCTTTTCTTTTTTTCCCCTCCTCTGTAACTCCTTTTGTCTGACTCTTCTTTCTTCCATACCTCTGCTTTCCTATCCAGGTTAATAGGCTGCATCTCTAGTAAGTTATAATGTCATCGCTGTGACTGATTGGACATACCCAGCACAAATTTGTCAGTCCTGTGTCCTATCCCTTCTCTCATCTAACGAGCTATAAATTATGGAAAAGAAATCTTTCAAGGAGGAGTTTGTTTAGGGTGCAATGACTTCAAACTGGTTTGTTTTCTTTTTAAGACTTAAAAATCTAAAAATTGCTCGGCTTGATTTAAAAAAAAAAAAATCATTTGCAGTTAGGCATCTAAACAGCTTTCAGAACTGGGGCCTTTGTGTCTGTATTTCAGTTCTTCCATTTATAAAATGCAGCTCCCAGGCTTGACAGCCTCATGGTGCAATAATGGGAGCTGCATAATTATGCCTCTGAAGAGCTGAGGCTGGTGGGATTGTAAGCATGGAATAATCTACTTTAGAATTTACCCTAGTAGCTGTCGTTGCTGAGAGGCTTTAATTACACTGTAATTGCACTGATAGATGATCTCCTGTCTGTGCAGGAACTTCCTACTTCTGTTTTCCAAAAGGAAAGCAGCATCTTGACTTCTCCCTTTAATATTAAATGCAGATACAGTCACTCCTCTTTGTGCTGTGCTTGAAGTCGTATAGATTTTTTGCATTGAGGTTTGTTGCATTTTTGAATGGCAAAGGCTTGAATGACAACCCAAGCAGACAGCTTTGCAGTGGGGAGGGTAGTTTATGTATTAGCAATAACGAATACCTGTGAACTGGACACTATAATGTCAGTAATGAACAAGTGACACTATTTCCCTTGAGGCATAGGGGTGGGATGCGCTCTTGACTTCATGCTCCTAATGACTTCTTTAATTTGGTTCCTGTGTTCTCAAGATGTCGCAGTTCTGTGGATCAAATGTAGAATATTTGTGATATCGATCTCATCAAAGAATTTATATTCATTTTGACATCAGATGCAACACAACGGTATTGAGGGCAGATCTGGCATGGTCTGGCATTATTCTGATGTTAGTGACCCTGTTGCTAGCACTGGGATAGGTCTGTCCTTAAGGGTGACCAATGTATGGATGGAGAAGTGGCCCAACCTGAATATTATTAGCAAGAGGGGATGGGGAGAACTGCAGACTCTTTCACAGCTTCTAAGTTCAGGTGTAATTCAGGGAGTTCTCTGTAAAACCTGCATTTTCCCTAAATGGCTTATTTCCAGCCATATAGGAGACTTGTTCTAGCAGGTGAATGACCTGGCCTTTGTTTCTTGCCATGCAACCGAGAGATTCCAATACAGAGCTTATAAATGGCAGGCATCAGGTCCAGCAAACTCCTGCTCCTCATCAGTTATAGCTGCCATGACCACGTCAAACCTACTTCAACACTGATTTGAAGTTCAGAAAGGGCTGCTTCTACCTTCATAGTTTGACACACAATGTCTGAGAGAGCGTGAAGAGCGCCGATGACAGCTGCGTTCCCATGGCACAGCCAAGCTCTACAACTGAAGGAAAAATCATCACCCACGCAGATTGCAAGTTCTGAGAGATGGTAGGAGACTGTTGAGTGAATAAAGACCCTTGTAAACCTTCTTACCTTCAGTGCAGAGGTAATTTTCAGGAGAAAGCCAAAAAGGTTAATATGTAAATCTCTTAAAACTCTTTAAATTGTACCAGCACATCATATTTCATCATTCTCTCCTTTAGGAAAGGAGAACAAATAGAATAGGTATGGTTGTGTTGAATTACCGTGGCAGAAGAAAGTGCTCAGTGTGGTGGTGACCTCGGTAGAAGACCTCACGCAGAACAGAGCTGTCGCTCGGCTGCCTGGTGTCCTGGGGAAGCTGTGTCCTTAGCGTTCCTTCCTTTTTTGAGCCCACCACTCTCTGAGCATATGAAAAGAAGAGCAGGATGAAGAGAGCACTGCCCTACCAGCAGGCTCAGCCAGTTATTTGGAAGCGGGGCAAGTTTTCTCCACTGCGTGCACCTTTGCCTCAGTCTCACTGGTAAGGAAAGGAGCCAAACAAGACCATGAAGGAGCTCTCCCTGATGCACTTTGTGGGGAGAGATGAAGTCACTGGGGGAGAAGGGAGATGATGTAAGCAGGTGTAGTGCCCACACATCCTTCTGTTTACCCACGCACTCTCCGTACCTACTTACGCACTCCTGGGTTGCTGCATGAAGGGTAGGCAGCACAGGGATGCTGCCAGCTCTTGTATTGGTGGTTGGCTTAGATTTTGCTCGCTCTCCTCGGTGCCGTATATTCCTACCCCAGGGACAGCCCTCCAGGAGAAAAGCACAGCCCGATGCTACTAATCGCATGCTTAAGAAAGCAGGGAAATGCTCCAGTCCAACACCTTCTCCAGAAGATCCAGTTGCTTGTATCAGTTTCTATGATACGAGGCTCTGCTTTTCCAAGGCCTCCTTATCTTAGCCTGTTCATTACTCATATTTAGCCTATTCATACTCATTAGTGAGTGGAAGCTCCGTATGCCTGTCATTAGTGCTGCGTACCTCCAGGTTGTGTCAGGACTAGCAGGGATATTCAAGGATGATCCTGTTTCTGCAGTATTACTGAAGGGAAAATAGCAATTTTGGGCCTTTCATATTATCCTGAGATTAGGTAAGTGACCTAAAATCATAGAAAATAGGGCTAAATCATAGACAAATCATAGAAAATAGGGCTAAAGGGGACCATGGGAATTTATCCCCTGTTTGAGGACACCTCTGCCTCTACCTTTTCTATGCAGATGCTTGTTCAGGCTGTTCCTCTCCAGTGGTGGAGGTTCCCCTCCTTTCCGCAGGCATTCCACTCCCATTCCTTGTTCTCCTGGTGCCTAATTTGAATTTTTATATTGTAGTTAAAGCCAGTGCTTCTTTGTCCTAAAACTGAATATTTACTTTTCTTCATATCTACCTTTTAAGTGTATAAAGCCTAATGTTGGGATGGTTATGTGGCTCCTCAGTCCTTCAAGACTAAAACCATATTTCCTCCGAGTGATATTTTCTGGATTTTTGATCTTTCTTGTTCTTCCCTGAACTGACTCACTGCCATTTGCATCCCACTTGAACTGCAATGCCCCAAACTGAATGTAATGTTCAGATAAGTAGAAATCTGTTGGGTATTTTTGTCTTGCAGTTTTCCTGTTCCTGTCCCCCTTCCTTAGAAAAACACGAACTTGACTTACGTTCAGCTAGAACTCCTAGATCTTCTTTTAGCACTAGTGTCAAATCAGTTTTTCATTCTTTTATTATATAACTGTTTCTGCCTAAATGTGGAACTTTGCATTTGTCGTCCCTAAATTAATACCTCCCCCCCACCCAGACCACTCCTCCCATTCGTTAATGTTGTGGGTTCTTGCACTCTGAAACTTTATATTGCCTACAGATTTAGTATCCACATTGTACTCCTTCATTCAAATTACTGTTGAAACCATCCGGTAGTACTCGAACAGAACAGACTCCTTTGGAGAACCCTTGGGGTTTCCCTTTTGAGAAAGGGCCTTTGGTTACTCAGAGCAGTTTTACAGATGGTTTCACAGCCACCTGTTTCATCTATTCGAGGGGAAAATTGCTGCAATTTCATTCTTAATTATCAGTTGTGATTATGAAAGTTGACATCTTCTAATGTTAAGATTTCAGACAGGCTGCTTATCTCCCTTTATCATAATGTTAGCATTGCTGTAAACTGATTTCTGAAATGCTCCCGTTTAGGTGCATGTCCTCTGAAGCAAGTCTCTGGACATACCGTGACCTTCTGAGCTGACTGGGATTCTTGTTTGAGTTCTCTCCTTGGCTAGTGATGAGACTTGGTGGGCGGTAGCTTTGCCAACCTGCAGAATATGCCACTCTTTTTGCAAGGGCTACTTAAAAAATAATACATATTAATGTTATAAGAATACAATTTTACCTTGAAAAAACTAAGGCGGGCCTTTATGGTGCTTATTAATTGTTTTTCCCCCCACCAATAAAGTTAGAAGTGGGATAGCAAGGGCTAACAATGAAGAGAAAGAAATGAATGGACTTCAAAACCCAGCGTGATGAAAGTACGTAAGTTTAAAAGACTTATAGCCACCCCTTACAAGCTGGTGCTAGTTATAGACCATGTTGGCCTAAATGCAAGTTGCCTTTAATCTCATAAAAATAAAAGTAAACATCACAACAGTCTAGCAGGGCTGTATGTGGGGCTTATCTCATGGGTGCAGGCTGGCTGGCAGTGAAAGGTGTGCGACCCTGTGGGACTCTCACCTGAACGTCCAGGGTCAGCCCAGCCAGCACGGGGCAGGACTGTAAAGTACGTAAAGTAAAGGCATCAGTCCCCGTTCAACGTTCTCTGCCGCCTGCAAGTCCGAGGAGGTGCAGAAAGAGGAACTCGCATGCTGGTGGCTTGTGTTTTGTCCTGTGGAAGGTGTGGTGCTTGTGGTGTTGAATGGGGCTGGACGGTAGCTGGGTTTTGCCCTGCACAGGGTAGTGTTCAGTGATTTCCATCGTTCAAGCATGTTGCTACAGGCTTTAGAGGACTTGATTCAGCATAGTTTAAATATTATGGAGTAATCCATGCTGCTTTTAGATGTGGATACTGCAAAAGCCATATCCGACAATCAGGGCAATGAATTGCATTATTCTATGTTTTATGAAGACTGTTTTTGTTATCGTCAAAGTCTGTAGAGAAAGGGGATGTGGAACTGGTTCTGATATATGGCAAAGAACTTGGATGAATAACACTGATCCTGTAACAGATGTCGTTGCACTGTGCTAAGGGGAGGAACGTGTTATGTGCCACTCTTGTCATTTCTGTTCTAACCTTGTAATTCCTGTTAAGCAACCAAACCTCACTCAGATGACTGGGGTGGACTGACATCTCAATGTTTTCATGAGGAAACAGTTGTGTTTGCATAGACTTCTTTCTTTCTGAGTGAAACTCGGTTTGATTTGTCCCCTTAGGAACCCTATTATGTGCGTTGCATTAAGCCCAACGACAAGAAGTCACCGCAGCTTTTTGATGAGGAGCGTTGCAGGCATCAGGTTGAATACCTTGGCCTTTTGGAGAACGTGAGAGTCCGCCGAGCAGGCTTTGCCTACCGCCAAACGTACGAGAAGTTTCTCCACAGGTAAGAAGGGTGCTGGCAAGTGACTCAGTTCAGCTCTTTGCAGGACAACTCGGCCGTTGGAATGAGGTGTGTGATTTGGCTGTCTCCCTTTGAGTGAAGAGTAAGTCTTAAGTCCTCTGGGCTTGTGATCTTCACTCTTGAGCATATGGGTGGTGGTGTGTTTGGTTTAGTATCTGCTGTTGGGTATGATAAAACATGAGTCTAACAGGGACTCTGGTTGCTCTCTCGTTTTGTGGCAGCAGAGGGGTTTAGAGGTGCGTACGTGGCACTCAGGCTCAACTTCTTTTGTGCTAAAATTCATTTGCTGTATTACTCTCTGCAGCAGGAACGTGTAATGAGGTTCTTCCCCAGAGCATAACCCTAAAACCAGAACTAATTAACTTCTGTTTTCTCTCTGAACATTGTTTAATTGTTGCAGCGAGAGAGACAGACAGACATTGTGTGTCTTGGGAAGTACTTGATGGCGCACAGTGACATTATGCGTGTGCAGGAGGAAACCTCTAGACTTTAAAACTGGAAGTCTGAAAAAGGGATAGTAACATGACCCCATTAAAACATGTTTTTGATACTACTTGCCCTCTTAATTCCTACCAGACTTGTGACAAATTAAATGTTTTAGATTGAAATTTATCTTACGGCTTCAGTAAATTAGCATGGGTATGAAGAATTCAACCTCTTGCTGATGAAATAGTGAATTGATTTTTACTTCTGTTACTGCATCAGGTGAGAAAAAGGCCCTGAGGGCAGAAAAAAATTGAACTATTCAAGCAGGTGGGATGTCATGTGTTAGAAACAAAGATCTTTTGCTGTTGACAGTGGAGATTTGCCTGGATATTTCATGATAACCTGAAGTGGAACGGGGTCTGGCTTACTAAATACAGCCTACAGTGTTGTCTATCAGTTTTCTTAAACATTATGCAGTAGTTAGAGTGTGCTTCTGCCCTCACACGTGGAATTCATTACCATTTACTCTTAAGATTTGTGTCATTACTAATATAAACAGCTGCTTTGTTTTTAATGAATGTTTGATGAGCTCCTGTAAGCTTAAGACCAGAAGTGGTGTTTACAGCTGGTAAACCAAATTAGCACATGGCAACTGGTACAGCTTTCAGGCTATTGTAACATTTGTTCTGCCGGACCCTGGAGTAGGATTAAACACCTAAAGTGTAAGGTATCAGATGCTGTATTTGCATACTGCGGCATTGCTCCAAGTCTAGTCTACACTTAACTTTTCTAAATTTAAAAAAAAAAAAAAAAAAAAAAATCTTCTGGTCTGGATATTGTTTTTATTTTTTCCAAAATTCTTTGTTCCTTGTCTTTGGGTGAGACATACCCTTCTTAAAGGGGCTGGGGGATACGATTTGTGGTACAAGCCGCACATTTTTTGAGTGTTTCTGAAGAGGGATCACAAGGGATTTCTGTTCCTTTATATTTAACTTATTGGGAGACTGGGAGCATGGAGGGGGCTCCAGGCCCTTCAGCTCTGGACTTTTGCACTGGGTGTGGGGCTTGTTTGAAGATAGATCTAGAGTAACTCAGTGAGGGGCGATTTTGGGACATAACTTTGTCATTTGTTTGCTTACATCTGCAAAAGATAAACATCTGTTTGTGGGACTTAAACCTGTGTAACTCCCTTACAGGCCCCTCAAGCTTTCAGATTTTCTGAGCCCAAAACAGATACTTGTGTTTTGTCTTGCTGATCCCTCTTAGAGGGGACAGGAGATACGTATCAGGATATATATAGATACGACATTCATATATATATGTGTGTGTATATATATGTGAGTGCATGTATGCCTATTTTTTTATATATATGTATGTACATGTGTATATAAAAACGTATAAAAAGTAACTTTCCTTTCTGTAGGAAAAGAGGTTTTTGCTGTTTTAGCCCTAAAATACTGTAAGGTAGTTGATCTCGTACCTACCAGTAGGAAATGAAGTGAAGCACAGTTAAGACCAGTAATAAATGTCCCTTTCAAGCTATCCTTGAAATTAAGAAAACTTTTATTTGAGCTCTGTGCAAACCAGTCTGCTCTTACCAATTTGTAGAAACTAAGATCTAAATATTTTTTTGTTGGACCAAGAGATGTGCGTTCGCTTGGTAACTACATCTTCCAACGGTGTGAAATGCGTGTCAGGGCCATGTGTCTTAAATAGATGTGATGCATTCTTTTGTTTTAATATATAACTTACTATCAAAAAAAAAGCTGATTGGATTTCAGAAAGGGGTATGTGTGCGGGGCAAGGGGAAGAACGGCGCCTGCGAGGCATCTGCAGGCATGGCCCTGTGTGAGCGTAATCCAACACTTTCACCATGAAGGCATCCACGTGCCTATTTCCAGACAATGTTAAACATAGCATGTAAACGACACCGAGATAGCTGTGAACCGCACAGTGGTAAGAGAAGAGTATGACCCTGCTTCCCGTGCAGACCTGATATTTTTCATTGAAGCTTCATAATTTAGTGGCTCGCAAAATCTCGGTTCTTAGGAGAGCTATACTGAGAATTGTAAGCTGTAGTAGCAACCTCATGTGTGCCGGGTGTTTCTACAGCTAAGCACGGAGAAGAAGAAGGAGAAACAAAGGTGGTGTAGAAATGGATGTTTAACGTATAAGTGACCTTGAAAGCTGTCAGGATCTCCAGGCAGGAGAGGGGAAGGGTTGTGGTGTCAGTGAGCAGATTTATTTTGGGTTCTGCCTCACTATAATTAGCAGCGACGTTGGGATTTTGACTTGCTGTGGCATCCAGGTCGTGCTCTCTGCTGCGGGGAAGGAGTCTGTGGCATTGCACTGGACGTGCCATGGGAGGAACAAAAGGATGCCACGATATTCCACTGCCGGTCCCACCACCTGTGGGCTAGGAGGGAGATGGTCCGTTTGCCTCGGGATGTCTTAATACCATGGCCCTGTGTTTGTTGTAATGGAGGAACAGAATTTAACATTTCTTTTGGGCAGGTTTTCAGTTCGCTGACATCTTACCCCTTTTTTTTCCTGGCCCCGTTGGCAGAGCAGGCCTGTTTAATAACGCGTGGGTTTGAACTGCCATTCTGGTAGTCTTCCCCCACCCCCCCCAATGTAAATGTCTCAAGGTGGAAGATTTTCCCAGTGAATTAATTATTGCAGGAACATTTTCCTGATGAGAATAGGAAAGAGAAACCAGTGTAAAATATTTATGTCCCGTGTGTACGTGTATTTGAGAGAAGGAATGCTTTTGCCAGCGAAGTATAAATGCAAAATCTTCTTTTGTGAGTCTGAAGAGGGTTTTTTTATATACCTTTTTTATTTATCAGTAAGATCCCTAGTCCGCGTGCTGTAACCCTCATGCTGATGGTGTTCCCTGCTTAGACACTGTGCATACCTCCATTTTATCCCCTCTTCAACAGCTTATTCAGAAAGGCTAATTTGATGAATGAAAGCGACAGTGTGATGTATTTCCATTCAGGCTTATTTTAGTCTGTTTAGTAACTCCTACAGTGTACCCACTCCCCAGTAAAAAGGTTTATTTAATAGTCGCTGAAAATTCTGAATGTCTAAAACATTGAGATTGATGCTTGACTTGGATTGTGGGCTTTTAAATAGAGAAGTGGTTAAGATTGCTGCATGCTTGTTTTATTTAAAACATGAATGTGGGTACTATTACAGTGAAAATGTCTATTACATTTTTGATTGTGTCCCTAAATCTTATGCAGAAAATTCATTGTTGCTTTTTGCAATCGTCTATTCACCTAATCAGCACTTTGCAAGGATGGTAAATCTTACAGAGAGCACAGTCTGATGCAGTTATTTTCATGTTTGATTTGAAGTTGTCTTAGTTCCAATCGGCATTCTCTCTGTGTAAAAAGGAGTTTGGAGAGTAAGGATGGGAGGGAATGATTGAACAGCGATTACAGGCAGTAGTGGTGTTTGCACAAACTGTGGCAGTCAACTATCTGCTACTTTGGTAAATAATAAAATTTGTTAGAAATGGCTACCGAAATGATGAATGAGAACATTACTTGCAGAATTTTTAAATCTAGGTTTCTGACTGAACAATTGATTACAGTTGGCTTCTTATGCAGAATGTGAGCAAACCAAAGCTTTTCCTCCTCGCAAAAAAATTTAAAATTGAATGCTGAAAGTGGGAATAATGGAACTGCCAAATCTGCAGGAAAACAATGCCGAGGTTTGTCGTGTTGCATCAATTCGGTGTTGATGAAGTGAGCTTCTCACAATATTTTTTTTTCAGCGTCTCACAAAATCATGCCTCTCATTAATTTTCCTTGGATTTTGAGGATCATGATTCTTACACAGGATGTCTTGAGGCTTTTCTATCTATAATCAGTTTTACTAGAACTTAGATCATAATTATTTCTAAAACATGTTGAAGGTTGACCTTCTTGAGAACCTAGATGACAAGTTTACATTTGTAAATTGTACCTTGTAATTCCAGGTACAAGATGATCTCAGAATTCACGTGGCCAAACCATGACCTCCCTTCAGACAAAGATGCTGTGAAGAAGCTCATAGAGTGTCATGGATTTCAGCACGATGTTGCTTATGGCAAGACCAAGATTTTCATCCGCACGCCTCGAACTCTGTTCACCTTGGAGGAACTGCATGCCAAGATGCTTGTGAGGATTGTCCTCTTCCTGCAGAAGGTAAAGCTTAGTTTACTGCCTTAAAAACTCAGTTCAAGTTCCTTAAAATACCTTTGCTGCCTTTTCAGGCTCACTTGCAAAAGTCACAAGTCTGCACAAATTCTGGAATACTGCAGTTTGATTACTGCTTAATTTTTTTAAAGCTCCTTCAGTAGTGCTCTCTGTAGCTGCATTGAAGTCTTGATGTGGTGTGGTGTACCATGAGTGATAGGACCTATAAGATTATTGGATACTGTTTAAAAAACTTGTTCTTTACTCAGTGAAAGTAGGCTACCTAGAAACTTAGAGGAACTTTTATGGATGAATGTATAAGAGTGATGCACAATGGATGTTGAGACGGGCTTACATGTTTATTAGTGGATCCGTAGCTGATGGCATGCATCAGCTCTAATGGTAGAACTCTTGGGGATGCAGGGAAGGGAGTGAGAGGGGAAGACAGAGTGAGAAAAGGGACAGGGAAAACTCTCCCCAGTGGCCAGCTGGGAAGAGAAGGGACAGGATCCCCAAATGAGCATCCTCCCAGAGCGTCCTTTCTGGTGCAGCAAGTGATCTCTCTCATCCATACCATTCCATTAATAATTACTGAGTTTTTATCAGGACCTGAGTGAAATCCGCATTGTTTTTTCTTATGATACTGTTAGTGGTGACTGAAGCACACAAGGACTGGGGGCAGATGCTCGTGCATATTGGTTTATTAAGCTTTGAGCATCCATATTACTGAGTCCCCTAATGTAAACCAAAACATACAGCCGAGGGGTACAGAAAGAAGGGGTGATGTGCACACTAGTGGCAATCACTTCCCGTAAGAACCTGCTATAACATGCAATGTTGGGGTTTGCAGGTGCAAGCCTAGCAGAGTTACAGCACAGGAACAAGGGCAAACACTGCTGCAGAGGCTCTGGAAAACACTGCCCCAGTAGCTTGGGTGAAACAGAGGGAAAGACAGAACAGAAAATAGAAGGTCCTTAGCATTACAAAAGGGTAAGACACCTAAGGCACTGTGCAACACGACCTGTGCACTTGTCTTTCCTCTCTGAACATGGGATTTGAGCTCGAGATCTTTCTGGTTTTACCCTTAGGATAAATAATTTTGCATTCTGTGACTTCAGGGCAAACACATTCTCAGACTTTGCTTACGAAGGTACTCTTCTAAGCCATGGGAGTTTGTTATGACTTGGCTAGCTCCTAAATCATTTAGGTGCTTTTTGGGGCCACAACAACACAATAGCAGCTGGTTTTGTAACCTCAAAAGCAACATACACCAGAGGGGAAAAAATACAAGAGCTGCTTTTAGTACTTGCTGAAAACTGTGTTCTGTATGAATGTGATCTGTCTGGCAAAAGAGCAACAACTTCTGACTTTCACAGCCACAGGAATGGTGGAACTCTCTTTGTCCTAACTGACAGGGGTTGTTGACTAGTTCAAGATTTTTAGCCTATTTATTAAAACGCATTTTTCCTTTGTCATTCTTGGAATTCAGGAAACAACAGAACTTGTGAAAACCTTTTTGCCCGACAGAAATAGAAACTGCTGACAGATGGGTATAAAAACTTCACAGAGAAAAAGCCTGCTCTAAAGCTATGCAATTAACCTAAGTTTGCACAAACTTTCTAAACCTGTTGGACTGAATCTCTTTTGGAAGAGTAAGACCCTGAAGGAGAAGTTATCCACTGCAAGCTTTAGTAGTTTTGTGAAACACTCACATTTCTTGTGTTTACAATGCGTTTGATCTGCTTCCCTTTCTGGAAAGCAAACCAGTTTTGACTAGTATGGAAGGAGAAAGTGTCAAGTCCAGGGTTGCACCTCTGTTGGTATTTGTTGTGCCAGATTGCATGGTTTATCTTTAGTAAGGAATTTTGTAAGTTTTGTGTGTATATATATAATGTGATTAGTTTTTCTGGAAATGGAAAGCTCAGGCTGCTTAAAGGATGCAGGACCTGCCTGTTTCTGAGCTTTGTGGTTCAGCATTTTCTTTCCATTTTTTTTAGTGTTCTGCTTGCCCTGCTGATGAGCTTCACAGCAGCTTTCTTCAACTACTCATCTTCTTCCAGGTGTCTTCCCTGGAAATGGCAGCATACTTTTCCAAAAGCATATTCTGGCTTATTCTTTTGGAGTGAAACGGGGCTGATCTGTGGGGCCCCTCTCATACACCTCTGTTAATGTTCTTCTGGATTATTAGTTGCACTTCCACCGTGCTCGCTCTGGTTTCTCGGGAGGAGTTCCCCTGTCTGCAGCCACTTTTCTAAGCACATCGGTCTTATTTGGTGCATTCAGCGAGTTCACTGGGTCATGCCATTAATTTGGAATCTCCTTTCTTCCCATAGTGGTATGAGGCAAGCTAATGAGTTCCTTGTTGAATAAAGCTGCAGGGGGGACACCTTGCTCCCAGATGACCCCAGTTTTCATATTAAATGTCTGAGGAATTGAGAGGTGACCTTTTTTGAAATTGAAAGGTGCAGTTACTGAAGAACAATTTAAAAGACCCAGCCTGTCTGTGGTGTGGAAACAGATGATGTCTCACTGCAAGGTGAGCGCTGAAGCTCTTCCTTCAGATAAAATCCACCGAACAGTGTGAGGCACAATTTTGACAGCAACGTGTCAGTTTTTGTGAGTTTACTGGCCTTTTCTTTAGATGGAAACTTCAGAATCATATAGTCTGGGCTGTGTTCTGGACTGGGCTCAACAACCTTAGAGGAGAGCAGGGCTAAAGATTTTTTTGCCTCTAGAAGGTAAGTTAGGAATAATGGATCAACTCTGGCTCTGTGAGGGATTTTGCTATAATGGTTTTGTGTGGCATCAGGCGTGCTGGATTATATATAGAATAACTATAGTGCTTTTGGGGCTTCTCTTATTGTGACAATCAGCAAAAGTGACAAAAGTTAAATTGCCGGTGCATGTTGTCCTATGGCTTCACCAACCTTCCTCCCCTATTTTCTCCTCTCCCTGGAGTGGAGAGGGACTAATGTAAGTCTACGTGGAGATGTCTTTCTCTTCTGCACAATAGTATTGAAAAGTGGAGTCATCTTTTTATTATTTCTCCCTGAGAAATCTTTAGTGAGATTCTAATTTACCTAATAAAAGGTTTGTGGGGAAAAGACAAGCTGCTTCTCAAGTGCTCAAGCTACTGAAGACTGGATGAAGAAAACTGGATGGCCAGAGCTCCTTTTCTATAGCTTAACCCCGCTGTGGTTCACCTGTATCTCTGTTTATACTTACTGGATGTTCTTCAACCAGGCTCTAAAGTGCTTGCAAAGTGATGGAGAGGAGCTTTTTAGAGTCCTGGAACTTGCAACTAAAGACAAGAAACACTAATGAATCTAAATGCTTACTAAACAGCTCGTCAACAAAAGAGCAGGAGTTGGGTTGATGTCTATAGGTGTGTAATTAGGTATGTTGTACAGAGTTAAATCTGGCTGGAAAATGTTTGAATTTTTCTCCCATTTTCTGTATTTCTCTTGTCTTGCTGTTGGATCTCACTCTCAGCTATGTATCAGATCACTCCTGTGTTCACGCACCAGCCGTGCTCTGCTGCCAGTAGATGGGGCAGTTGGAGATTGGCAGCGCTGAAAAAGGAACAATCAACACAGCAAAAAATAAAATCAGAGTAAGGATCTGAAGAGGCCTTCTCTATACTCTGAAAACATCAAGGCGATTTTGCCTGTCTCTTAATTTCTGTTCTCAACTTGCTTTCAATTGTTCATGAAAAACTCACATGTTTTTGTGAGTAATTCTTGCAATGTAATTCTTGCTGCATTTTCCTTACTTTAGTTTTGCCTGTAAGAATCAAAGGCCGAGTAAGGCAATCTGTGATACTTCTGAGAGTCACAAGGTTATGTCTAAAAGGAAAGAGAGAGATTAACTTGATTTTAAAAAAATAATTGAGCCTTCTGTTGCATTGGAGCTCCTCAAATTTGAATTTAGGAAAAGGAAAAGACAACTGGAGATAAAATGTGGTGGTGTGACAATAGGCGCTTGTGTGATAAAAACTGAGGGAAAATATAAGGCGTAGCCTTAAAAGCAGCCGATCACAGGCTGAGGTTCAATAACGTTTCTCTTTGCACAGGAATGCTTTTAAATGAAAGAAAGATCTGCATGTAATGCATATAGCAGTTCTGTTTCTTGGCAGTTTTAAATGTACGTCTTCATTTCTAATGATATATATTATATGGTGTATTACTCTCATACAAATCACAAGACTTTCAAAAAGAGAGTCAGTAAATATCTTAAGAGCTTTGTTGTGGGAGTAACCCTTAACCCTTAAAATAAGGCTGGTTCCTTTGTTTAGCCACGATAAGAATTTGCTTCATATGAGTTTGGTTAAATTGAATTAAAACTGACTTCCAGTTTAAGGAGATAATTTTACTTCCTTTTATTCCACGTCTCCTGGATGTCTTCTCCTTTCACTTTATTTTCCAATGTTCCTTTTTCTTCTGTGAGAAAATGTTAGTGGGATTCCAAGCTGAGATTTTACTTCAGACCAGACCAAGTCAGTAAGCAGATGTGATGTGATTTAACCGTGGCAACTTGCTGGCTCCAGGAGAATTTAGCAAGTGAGAGCTGTCCGGTATTAGAGAGCCCATATGGTGGTGGAGACATTGCTGTCGGAGTCAACTCGAATGGTCATTTTAGAAGCACCAGCTGAGAACATCACTGCTTTTTATGCGGTGTATTTGAGTTTATTTACTATACTTGTGGTCTTGCCATCTATATGATTGTCTTCATGAATGCAAATGAAGCACTCTAATGTTAATAATAAAAATAAAAAATAAAATTAAAAAAAGCTGCCATAAAACCCCGTTGCTTTTTTTGCCCTTGGAAGCATTCCCACATATTCATTAGCTTTGCAGAATAGTGCTTTGTTCAAGAAAAAAAGCCCAGCCAGCCAGCACGTGCGGTATGCAAAGATGATGTATCTTGTCAATATAATTTAGTGCACTATTTCAGTGTAATTTTATCAGACCAGTACAGCTGCGTATGGTAATCGCTTCACTAAATCTTTA